AAAATCATGGCTTTGGTTGTAACTTAATTTAAAAATCAAATCACTGGAGACAAACCATGCCTTCGTTTTTATTAGCATCTATCTGCAGGCTGCTGTTCCTTAGGGGCAAGCCTGGTGTGCTGCACAACAACACTGTCTTATCAGCAAAAATGTCCAGGGTAGAGAGAAGATGCTCTGAGGAGGGAATTTGTGAACCCAGATTAGAGGAAAACCCCAAGAATCATATTGAGAACCTTACATTTCTTCCCCCTCACCTTAACAGTATTTTAGTTTTTCCAATTACGTGTAAAGATAGTTTTCAACATTGACTTTTATAAAATTTTGAGTTCCAATTTTTTTTCTCTCTCCCTCCCCCAAGAAGGCAAGCAGTCTGATATGAGCCTCACATTTCTGATACTGGATCACAAGTTTAGAGCTGAAATGACCCCAACAATCTCAGTTTAGCTCTCTCTTTTTTTAAACAGGTAATGAAACTGAGGCCCAGAGATGTTAAGTGGTGTCATTATCACACAGCAACTAAGTGTCAGACAGGATTTGATCCCAGGTCAATGAACTGTGCCATATTGATCATAGATTTAGGGTTGCAAAGGAATTTGAGGGGTCACCGAGTCCAATCTCCTAATTTTATAGACGATGAAACAGGAGTGACTTGTTCAAAGTTATACAACTAGTAAGTAGCTGGATTTGAATCCAGGTCTTGTGACTCCAAAGCCAGTGTTCTTGTCGTATTTGTTACTGTCAAGAGCTAGTTGAGATATTGATATGCTGTCATTCATAGTAAGCTGGAGAGGGCACAATCCCTTTTAAAGTGTCCTCTCTGCTTTCTTAAATGTGGATTAATATTTATATTCAGTCATTTTAGTCATGTCTGACTCTTCATGACCCTGTTTAAGGTGTTCTTGGCAAAGATACTGGAGTAGTTTGCCATTTCCTTCTCCAGCTCATTTTACAGATGAGGAAACTGAGGCTCACCCAGGGCGACACACCTAGTAAATGTCTGAAGATGGAGTTGAACTCGGGGCCTTCTGACTCCAGGCCTGACACTCTCTCTACTGTAACACATATTAGTATTTGTTTGGTAATTAGGTAAGAACCCACAACTTCTGTTATCTGGTATTCAAGGGAAGGAAGAAAAGAAAAACCAGTATTCAGGGGGAAAATAGACAGCTTTAGAAGGAATGATATTTAATGGAGCAAACTTATTTTATGTAGCAAGTGTCTCTCAGAAGGCAGCTAGGTACTATCTCTAGGTTAAAAATTCTGCTTGAACATAAAATCAGACTTTTGACATTTGCTTTTTAATACCAAATCACAAAAGTTCGGAAAGCATGGACTCTCTCTAATAACCTTTCCTAGGGTACCTGAGGTGGGCCACCTCTGATGTGCCCAAACTTCATCCACCGCCATCAAAAATGGAAGCAAGGCAGGACAGGGGGGTGGCCAGCAATGCTAAAAAGAAACAAGCCAATCCTTTAAAAAAAAAAAAAACTATTGTAGTCCTGCAGTGGAAGCAGGAGAGGTCCAGGTTCATATTTAGTACTGATTTTGTTTTTTATCTGGGTTGTTGAATTGATAAAATCAGAGTTATAGTCACAGAGTGCTACTGTTGGCCTCTGGGGAAGGGGAGGGCTCGAGGGCATGAGTTTGAATCCTAGCTCAGTCACCCATTACTTATGTGAACCTTGGTTAGTCACAGCAGCTGTGTCTAAGTTTCCTGATTTAAAAGAATGTGAGTTTCTTAAAGGCAAGGTCTGGTTCCTCCTTGTCTTTGTATTCCTAGAGTTTAACACTGTAATGCTTAGCAGGTATGTTCACGCTTATTGATGAATTGATTTGGAGGGGAAAAAAAGGGAAGGGGGGTGGAGAGGGAGATAATGCTTATATTGCATCCTTTATTAGGTGGTTGTAGGAGAAGTGCCTTGTAAACCTTAAAACACTCTAGAAATGTGAGATAATATGAGATCATTATATGGTGGAAAGATCATGTTACTGAAGTGCAAAGATTTGGTGGTTAAATCAAGCGCTAAAAAATATTCTGTAGGGCTAACAACATCCCTTGCTGCTGCTGCTGCTGTTAATAGCTTGAAGGTTTACCACTCACTTGAGAGGCCTTATTCCATTGGATTCCAATAACAGGCTAGGAAAGTAGATACTTGAAAAAAAAAAATCTCCCTGCCGCCCTTCCTCCTCCCCCAGTGATCTCATTGACAGTAGGAAACTCCTGGTGTAGAAACTCCCTTTATCAGTGCTGAACTGTGATACGTTGGTAACTTAGTCTTGGAGGGATGTCTGCTAGGGCTGGAGAAAGCACAAACATAATCAGTATGTGACAGAACCAGATCTTCCTGACTTCAAGGCCAGCCCTCTATCCTTCTTGGGAGGTAGATTTTTAGGGATTATCATCCCCATGCTGCCTCTTAGAGGGTAGATATTTTACAGATGAGGAAAACAGGCTCAGAGATGTGAAATGATTTGCTCAAGGTCACACAGCCGGTTAAGTCCAAGAGCGCATCAGTTCCTTGGGTGTTGGGATTTTTTTCTTTTGTCTTTGTATTTCATTATGTAGCACAGTTCCTGGTATGAAGTCAGAGTTTAATAAATGCTTGTGGAATGGATAAATGAAAGTGTCAGTGGTGGGATTTGAACCTAGGTTTCTCTTAATTCTCAAATCTAGCACTCTTCATTGTGCACACTGCTGAGAAGAGCAAACAAACAAACAGCGAATAATAGGAAATTGCTGATTGAAGCGCTCCCCAAATATAAGAAGTCAGTAGCGTTTAGGTCCTGCTAATAGTGGACTCCTCAATCTTGCCCCCCAAACTTCCAATCCAGCCTGAACTTTTAAACATAAACCTCTTAGTCGTTTTTAGATTTCAATAATTTAAATGGCACATTTGAGGGAATCCTGTACCCCCTTTGTTTTGTCACCTTGCCTTATCTGAAACAATTAAAAAATAATCTTTCTCAGGCTTCTCCCTCCTCCTCCACATTGCTTTGTATCCTTTCTCACGCTAACCATTGGTGCATGTGTTAGAGGAACACTGACAGATTGGGATGATAGTGTAAGCAAAACACAGTCTGGAAGTCAGATGGCTTTGTCCTCTGGCCAAATATCAATTACTTTGGATTATCTGGCCCAATGACGGCATGCTCCAGTGTCTAGAGCAGTTGATTTGGAGTTGGAGGACCTGAGGACAAATTCCACCCCTGTGTAACCCTGGGCAAGTCACTTCTCGTCTCTGGGCCTCAGTTCCCTCATCTGTAAAATGAGAAGGGAGGTTAGAACAGATGGCCTTTGGGAGCCTTTCAAGGTTACTCTGAAATCCTCTGAATCCACTAGAGAGAACTAGAGAGCATTTAGCTCCTTTCCAGGCAGTAACTCCTGATCATAATTAAGTTAGAGAAAATACAGAGATCTTGGGGGAAAACTCAATATATTTTCAGAGTTTTACAAATTTTGTTTCTCCTGGTTTTGCTGCAACACCTCCTCTCTGGCATCTTTTCTGTTTTATTGGTGGTGCAGTGGATAGACTGCTGGATCTGGAGTCAAGAAGACCTGAGTTAAAATTCAGCTTCAGACACTTCCCAGCTGTGTGACCTTGGGCCAGTCACTTAACCCTGTTTGTCTCAGTTTCTTCATCTATAAAATGAGCTGGAGAAGGAAGTGGAAAACTCCTCTAGTGTCTCTGCCAAGAAAACCCCAATTGAGGGCACAATGAGTTGAACACAACTGAAATGATTGAACAACAATAAGGAAAGTAATTGGCTACTTTTAGATTAGGAATTAACCAATTGTCATGCTAGAATCTGTATGGAGTTCAGTGAGGTGATTTTTTTTGTGAGGGAGGGGGTAGTGCTGAAATTATGAAATGTGTGTAGTGTATGAAATTCTGAAATATTTGTAGCTGGATTCAGTGGGTACAAATCCCACTCCTGCTACTACCTGTGTGACCTTGGGTAAGTCACTTCCCTTCTCTGAGACTCAGTTTCCTCATCTGTGAAATTGAAGGTATTAGTTTAGATCAGGGATTGTTAACCTGGGGTTTGTGAACTTAAAATTTTTTTTTTTGATAACTATCGCAATGTAATTGTCATCCTTTGCAATCTTATGTATTTTATTTATATTTAAAAACATCTTTAGTTTTTTCATATAACCATAATTTCCTCTACCATCTCTCCCCTCCAAGAGAGCTATCCCATGTTACAAATAGTTTTTTTTTAAAGAAAATAAAAGGGGAAAAATCAACATAACTGATCAATACATTGAAAAAGACTGCAAATATGTGCAACCTACAATGCTTCTGCTGAAGAATGGAGTGGAGGCATCTTTTCATATCTGTTCCTTTGAGCCACGCTTATTCTTTTTTTTTCTTTTTGGTGAGGTAATCAGGGTTAAGTGACTTGCCCAGGGTCACACAGCTAGCAAGTGTCAAGTGTCAGAGGCTGGATTTGAACTTAGGTCCTCCTGACTCCAAGGCTGGAGCTCTATCCACTGCACCACCGAGCTTTCCAGAGTCATGCTTCTTCTTTTAAATTTTGAAAGATTGACTTCTGTGGGATTTTTTTGGTTGTTTATTTCTATGTATTTTATTTTGTGCATATAAAACCATTGTTCTGAGGAGCGGCCGGCAGGTTTTGCCAGGCTGACTCTGCCAAAGGGGTCTCTCATGCATAAAAGTTAAGGATCTTTGGACTAGATAATATCTAAAGTTCTTCTCTACATGAAATTACTTTGTATTTACTTTTTGTATATTTTATATTTGTATGTATTTTATATTCCACTTATCTTGGTATACATTGTATCTCCCTAGATCAAAATGTATTTGGGTTCGTGGAGTACTTCACTTTTGTCCTTTGTATCCAGCATAGCACCTGGCACATAGGTCCTTAATCTATGCTGGGTGAACGAATGAATGAATGAATGTTGATTTAAAAAAAAAATAGAATCACATGACTGAAAACTTTCCTGGTGATAATGACTTATGCCACTCTGTTTCTAGGGTAAAAATCATAGTAAGAAACTCCGGAATTACTATGCGGCAAGTAGCTGTCCACCCTCTACCAGAATGAGCCATGTAGTGGAGCCCGTCCCCCCTCCTGTCGTGCCAGCTTCCCCCCAGGTAAGGTGGGAAGAGATGTTGGTCAGAAAGTTCTCACCTTTCTTGGAAACAAAATCTTCTTGTCTTACTCAATGAGGAACAGTCCTGGCAGATGTTTTATGACAGATGGGAGCTAGAAGATTAATAGATAGTCAGGAATGAGAGCTGTTTAATTTTTTCCACAAACCCATTATTAGACAGGTCAAATGCTCCTGAAATGTGGTTCTGTCTCTCCCTCTTCATTCAGGGGCCTGGGTTTGATGGATGCAAAGTTCTGCTAGCCATGGTAGTGGAGATTTTACGTTGAGTGTGACTCAGATGTGATGACAATATAGTTAATGGGAGTCTGTCTCTGTGTAATCTTCCACTTCCTAGGTTAAGTGAATCCAGTCTACCAGACTGAGAGGAAGGAATGATTTCTAGGCTGTTCCTGAATGTGTAATCGGAGGACCTCATTCCATCACAAATAATCCCTTTTCCTGGCTACCTAGCAGGAAGCCTGATTTAAGCTCCTTCTGGATTCCAGTATCAAGTGAAAAACTTGAACAAAAATCCAAATTCATTTCTGAGCCAAAATTCAGAGATCTTTGAAGAATAGCTCAAGGGGTGTAAATCTGAGAATTGGACAAGACAGTAGGAATCTGTTCCTTCATCTGCTTTGGATTCATCATATAGACTGTTGGGTAAAACATCTATCAGACAATCAATCAATCAATCCGCAATCATTTATTAAGTGCCTCCATTGTGCTAGGTGCTGTGCCCAGGATCTGGGGGTACAAGACAGAATGAAATAGTTCCTGCCTTCAGGCAGCTTCCTGGTTTTTTTTTGTGGGGGAAAAATTCTGTTTCTACTTCAATTTGCAGTCTGTAAAGTAGAAATAAGAGTACTAGCCACCTACACTATTTTCCTTTCCCTTCTTCTCTAAAATGAAACAATACCTTCCAAACCAAGCAACTTTATGAACTGTTATAAAAATGAACTGCTAAATTTCATGAGTTTCTTAGGAAATATGAGAAACAGAATGCAGAATCATGAGTCAAGAGAGGACCTTGAGTCAAGATGGGGCCTTTAGAGGTTAGTTGGTTGAATTAAATGGTTTTCACCTTAGTGATGTCCCAAGTAGACTGTGAATTCCTCCAAAATGTCAGAGCAGATGCCGCTGCTACTTGCATGTTGTTCAACTGACATAGGACACAGACTTATCCACTTGTCAGTTGGTATGGGGGGGAGGTTCCCTTTGGGGGATGGGTTGGACTAGTCACCACTGATGTCCCCTTTAACTCTTAATTCTATTCTTCTGTGAAGAACGTATCTCTCTATTAAGTGACAGTTACTCAAAATTTATCCAACGTGGCTGAAGAACATTGGGCAGATATGAATGGAGCTGCCTTAGTATAGCTTTCCTCAAATAGTAACAGGAAATGACTGAGGTCAAGAAGGATCTCAGTAGGGTTTTAAGGTTCTCCTAATTGATTTCATCCAAACCTAAACCATTCTTCCTAACTTTTGGTTAATTATACCATCATTCTCCACGTCACCTTGATTTGAAACCATGGGACCATATTTGTCTTTTCTGGCCCCCATAATGACCCCAGAGTCATTACCAAGGCTTGTCAGTTTTCCGGAAACATGTCAACAGCCCCTCCTTTCCCATCCCTACCGCCACACTCTGATTTGGGCCTCAATTCCTTGTGCCTAGCTCATTCATACTGGATGAATGAGAGAAACAATTAAGCACTTCCTGAATTCAAGATATGGCATGGTGCCACATGCTGAGTAAGCTACAGTCCCTCACATTTGGAATATCCTTTTATAGTTTATGCCACTTTTGGTCTTGAGGTCACTTTGGCAGGTGTTTCCCATTTTACAGAGAAGGAAACTGAGGCTGAAATGTTCAAGTCACTTGACTAAGATCCCACCACTAAGTGCTGGTGGCAGGTCTGGAATAACTCTTCTGACTCCCACATCCAGGGCTTTCTTTGCTCCGTTCTGTTCGTACTTATTTTTAATTTAATTTTTATTTTTTTAAAATTAAAAAAAATTTAATTTTTAGGCAGTTGGGGTTAAGTGACTTGCCCAGGGTCACACAGTTAGTATGTGTTAAGTTAAAAGGTTTGGTAGAGCTAGCATGGTAAGTGTGACAGTGAATTGCTTAAGAAGGTGTAGAAATAATTGCCTTGCCAAAGTGAGAACCCAGTTGAAATTATATAACATTTGTAGTGGACCCATCAGCATAGTTTCATGATTTTGTTGTTTTCATTTACATTTTTGTAGTACTGTGTGTGTGTGTGTGTGTGTTGTTTTCCTCATTCTCCACTTATTTGCACTTTGTATCAGTTCACGTCTTTTCAGTCTTCTCTGTATTCCTCATTTTCATTGTTTCTTACCGCATAGTAAGATTTTGTGACGTTCATGTACCACGATTTGTTTATCTCTTCCCTAGTTGTTGGGCATACACTTTATTTTTGCTACCACAAATATTTCTGATATGAATATTTTTGCTTATATGGGGCCATTCTTACTTTCATTGACTTCCTTGGGGTATAGACCATAGAGTCTTGTATGCAATAGGCATTTAGAAAATATTTGTTTGGTCACTGATTGTGAGAGATGACACAATGTAGTGGATAGAGGGGCTGGCTTTGGAGTAGCTTCAAGTACTGCCTTTGTTTCATATTGTTGTGTGACTCTGGACAAGTTACTTTACCCCTCAGTGCTCCAGACAGCCTTACAGACCATGAGTTATAGATAAGCTACTGATCCTCATTGGTAGAGGGTACTTCCACATTGGTAGGTCATGGGTGAAACCTTAGGCTTAGACTGTACTTGTTCTACCATTATGCTTGCTTACCCCCTGCTCTTTATTCAGTCGTTTCAGTCTTGTCAGACTCTTTATGACCTCATTTGGGATTTTCTTGGAAGAAATACTGGAGTGGTTTGTTTTTTCCTTCTCCAGCTCATTTTACAGATGAGGAAACCAAGGCAAACAGGGTTAAGTGACTTGCCCAGGGTCACATAGCTAGTAAGTGTCTGAGGCTATACTTGAACTCAGGTCTTCCTGACCCTAGGCCAGGTGCTCTATCTGCACCACCTAGCTGCCTGTGGTGCATTTCCCCCCCCCCCCCCGCCCAGTTAATTCTGGGGTGAGATTTATTTAATTTTTTTCCTGGTAAAGTTTCTTAGGCCTTATTTTCAAAGCTTTGGCTGATATATGATTTCAGTCTGTACTCCACCATAATTTCAATTCTTTTTCTTATTTCCATAGTGGAGAGGGTAATCAGCCATTCACATATTTAAGTATAGGTGAAACGTTGTTGTAACACAAAATCACGATTCAAAAATTATCTTCTTTCCTTCAAGAGCCAAGACCTCCTACCAGTGAGAATAAAAGATACTTATTCCATTTGTCTTGAAGCTTATGCTAAGCTGTCACACTTCTCCAGACTTCCTAGGAAGGGAGCAGAGAATCCTGGGTGACTCCACAGGGGGCATAGAGAAATATTAAAGACCTCATTCTTAGGTAGTGTGGGAAGAGTGCTGTAGTTGGAGTTGATGGATCTGGGTTCAGATCTTGGCTCTGCCACTTGGGACCATGAGATCATACATAGATTTTGCCATCTAGTCTCAGCCCTTCATTTTAGAGATCCTCATCTCATCAACTGAGGCCTAGAGAGATTAAATGACTTGTCAGGGACTTCTTCACCTAGGTAACCTTAAGGTCATTCTACCCATGTTGGCCGCAAAATCCTCATCTATAAAATAAAGGGGTTGGATGTCTCTTTTGGCCCTCAATCTATGGTACTGTAATCCCCCACGTGGTTGTTCAGTACTAAGGAGGGCCTTTTTTAAAAAAATTTTTAAATTTAAAAAAACTTCTTTTATTAATTTATTTTGAATTATCAACAATCACTTCCATAAGCTTTTGAGTTTTAAATTTTTCTCCCCTTCCCTCCCCAAGACAGCGTGCAATCTGATATAGGCTATACATATACATTCCTATTAAACATATTTTCACATTAGTCATGTCGTTAGGAAGAATTAGAACCAATAGGAGGAACCACCAGAAAGAAGAAACAAAATACAACAGAAGAAAAAAAAATAGCAACTAGTATGCTTTGATCTGCATTCAAACTCCATAGTTCTTTCTTTGGATGTGGATAGCTTTTTCCATCATGAGGCCTTTGGAGATGTCTTAGATCCTTGTATTGCTAAGAAGGATTAAGTCTATCAATATTAGTCATTGCACAATGTGGCTGTTATTGTGTACAATGTTCTTAAGGAGGGCCTTTGAAAGGAGCCAAAGGACCTAGCTTCCTTGTGAGTTCTCTATCAGCTGATGCCATTTCCCCCTGTTGCTTCTCTGTTGGCAGGTGGACATCTCCAAGCCTGGCAGCAGAGTGATCAGGGCCACAGAGAATGATTACTGTAAGCTCTGTGATGCTTCCTTTAGTTCCCTTGCTGTGGCCCAGGCTCACTACAAAGGGAAGAATCACGCTAAGAGGACAAGACTGGTGGAGGCCCAGAACAACCTGTCCTTGTAGGTATCACCCACCTTTGCCTAAGCCTGCTGACGTAGTGTGTGGGGCTTGTGGGCAAGACTCACTGCTTTGAATGGGCTTCTAGTCACATCTCTGTCTCTTCCCTTTTCCCAACACCCCCTTTTTCCATTTTTCTTTTTCAGGGATTCATCAGAGGCAAGTCAACGGAGGACCCGGAAAGAAGGGAATGAATATAAAATGATGCAGAATAGGAGGAATGCATATGCTCTTCAAAATAATACAGGTACCTTACATATCTCCTAATTTGCCTGTAGTCAGGGTAGAGAAATTGTCTGAAAATTTTTTTTTTCTTGTCACACATCCTGATAATTTTTGAAGTAGTAATTCCTTTGTTAGTGTGGCGTTGTGAGTAGAGTGGTAGCCCTGGAGTCAGAAAGACCAGAGTTGAAGTCTAGCCTGTGATTCTACCTCTGTGTGTGTGTGTGTGTTCGTATGTGACTGTGACTGGTCCTATCAGTTAATTTTTCAGTACCCAGACAACTTTCTAAAGCTAAGTCACAAAGTTGTGTCCTACATTAATAGCAGGAAATTCTAAGTCAAAAAAGCATTTATTTTATGCCTTCTATGTGCTAGGCCCTATGCTAAGCACTGGAGATCCAAAGAATGGTGAACTAATAATAATTATAGTAATAATGATATTCCTATTAAATATCATTGTATATCATAATAGCTAGCATTTATATGGTGCTTTAAGGTTTACAAATATCTAATTACATCATTCAAAAAACAGTCCCTGATTTTAAGGAATTCGTACTTCTTATGCAAATGAAATTGCTTTGGGACCAACAAGTTGCTGAAGAAAACTGGAATATTTGACTCACAGACTTAGGTGAGAAGTAGAATGCGCTTTGCTTTTTTTCTTTTCTAGTATTCTCATTGCTTTCATTTTAACCATTTGCATTGTGGTTTTCTTATTCCTGTAGTATTCGCCAGCTGAATGGTTTAAGCTTGGCTGTATAAATGGGCTGGATCTACTTATTTCAGGATTTTCTTTTTAACCTTGATAGGCATATTCTGATATGTTCTCCTCCCCCAATAGCATATATGCTCCACCCCCCCCTTTTTTTTTTTTTGGTGAGGCAATTGAGGTCAGGTGACTTGCCCAGAGTTACACAGCTAGTGTTATGTGTCTGAAGCTGGATTTGAATTCAGGTCCTCCTGATGCCAGGACTGGTGCTGTATCCACCATGCCACATAGCTGCCCCCGCCATATGCTCTTTTTTTTTTTAATACTCATCCCTTTTCTTTTTTTTTTTTTGATTTTGAGTTCCAAATTTTCACCCCATCTCGCCCCTCCCCCCACCCCTAGATGGCATGCATTCTGAATACCCCTTCCACTAGTCTGCCTTCCTTTCTATCTCTCCCCCCCTTCTCTTATCCCCTTCCCCTTCAATTTTCCTATAGGGCAGGATAGATTTCTGTACCACATTTCCTATATTTCTTATTTCCCAGTTGCATGTGAAAACTTTTTTTAAACATGTGTTTTTAAAACTTTGGGTTCCAAATTTTCTCCCTTCCTCCCTCCCCACCTACCCTCATTGATAAGGCAAGCAACTAAATATAGGTTATATATGTGCAGTTATGCAAAACACTTCCATAGTAGACATGCTGTGAAAAACTAACTCTATTTCCCTTAATGCTATCCCGCCCACCCATTTATTCTATTCTTTCTTTTGACCCTGTCCCTCCTCAGAAGTATTTGCTTCTGATTACTCCCTTTCCCAATCCGCCTTCCTCTCTATCATTTCCCTACTCTCTTGTCCCCTTCCCCCCCTATTTTCCTGTAGGGTAAGACAGATTTCCACACCCAATTAAGTATGTATGTTATTCCCTCCTTAAGTCAAATCCTATGAGAGTTAAGATTCACTCATTCCCTCTCACCTTCCCCCGTTTCCCCTCCACTGTAAGAGCCTTTTCTTTTCGTTTTTTTTTTGTGGGATAATTTACCCCCTTTTACCTCTCCCTTTCTCCTTCTCCTAATATATTCCTCTCTCACCCCTTAATTTTATTCTCCAGATATGACCCCTTCATTTTCAACTCACCCTGTGCCCTCTATCTATCTATCTATCTATATACATACATATAATTTTTTCCCCTCCAACTACCCTAATACTGACAAAGGTCTCATGATTTACAAATGCCATCTTTCCATGCAAGAATGTAAACAGTTCAACCTTAATAAATCTCATGATTTTCTCTTTCCTGTTTACCTCTTCATGTTCCACTTGAGTCTTGTATTTGAAAATCAAATTTTCTATTCAACTCTGGTCTTTTCATCAAGAATGCTTGAAAGTCCTTTATTTCACTGAATGACCATTTTTTCCCCTGCAGGATTATACTCAGTTTTGCTGGGTAGGTGATTCTTGGTTGTAATCCTATCTCCTTTGCTCTCCGGAGTATTATATTCCATGCCCTGTGGTCCTTTAATGTAGAAGCAGCTAAATCTTATGTTATCCTGATTGTGTTTCCACAATACTTGAATTGTTTCTTTCTGGCTGCTTGTAATATTTTCTCCTTGACCTGGGAACTCTGGAATTTGGCCACAATATTCCTAGGAGTTTTCCTTTGGGGATCTCTTTCAGGAGGAGATCAGTGGATTCTTTCAATTTCTATTTTGCCCTGTGGTTCTAGAATATCAGGACAGTTTTCCTGGATAATTTCTTGAAAGATGATGTCTAGGCTCTTTTTTTGATCATGGCTTTCAGATAGTCCACCTATTTTAAAATTCTCTCTCCTGGATCTATTTTCCAGGTCAGTTGTTTTTCCAATGAGATATTTCACATTGTTTTCTAATTTTTCATTCTTTTGGATTTGTTTTACAGTGTCTTGATTTCTCATAAAGTCACTAGCTTCCAATTGTTCTATTCTGATTTTTAAGGAAGTATTTTCTTCAGTAATCTTTTGGACTTCTTTTTTCATTTGGCCAATTTTGCTTTTTAGGGCATTCTTCTCCTCATTGACTTTTTGAACCTCTTTTGCCATTTGGGTTAGGCTATTTTTTAGGGTGTTATTTTTTTCAGTATTTTTTTTGGGTCTCCTTTAGCAAGCTGTTGACTTGTTTTTCATGATTTTCTTGCATCACTCTCAGTTTTTCCTCTGCTTCTCTTAGTTGCTTCTCAAAATCCCTTTTGAGCTCTTCCAAGGCCTGGGACTGATTCATATTTTTCTTGGAGGCTTTGGATGTAGGAGCTTTGGCTTTGTTGTTTTCTTCTAGTTGTATGTTTTGATCTTCTTTGTCATCAAAGTAAGATAATATAGTCTGACTCTTTTTGCGCTGCTTACTCATGATCCTGGCCAATTACTTGAGTTTTAAACTCTTTGTTAAGGTAAAAGTCTGCTTCCAATGTGAAGAGTGTACTGTCCCAAGCTTCAGGGGTTTGTACAGCTATTTCCAGAGGTACTTCTAGGGACCTGTAAATTTTCAGTTCTTCCAAGGTGCTATGATAAGGGGCAAGGTGTTTTTTCTCCACCACCACAACAAGCTCCACCACATCAGTGTTCCTCCTCGCCCCAGGACTACCCCTCAGAACTGTAACCCAGATCCAAGCAAGGGCAAAGCAAGAGATTCCTGCCTCAGCACTGGCAAAGAGATCCCTGCAATCCCCCTCTGATCAGCCACTCGATTTCCCCTCAGTCTGTGGGCTGGAAGCTCAGGAAAAAGCCATGGTCCCAGGCTGCGCTTGGGACTTGCGGCTGAGACCTATCTCCTCTCTCACTGCAGTCATAGACTTTTCCCACTGACCTTCTAAGTTGTCTTTGGCATTCAGGGTTTGAGAAGTCTGGAAACCGCCACAACTGCCGGCGTTTCAGTCCTCCGCGGCCTGCTCCAGGGTCACTGCAGCCTGCGCGCCTGTGCCATACTGTGCTCCTTTTCCTGCCTGGCGTGATATACCTTTCTGATCAACCATCCAGGCTGTCTTTGGCTGGAAATTTGTTTCACTCTGTCTTTTTGTAGGTTCTGCTGCTTTAGAATTTGTTTAGAGCCATTTTTTTAGGTATTTGGAGGGCTTTGGGAGAGAGCTCAAGACAGTCACTGCTTTCCCTCCGCCATCTTGGCTCTGCCCCCTACTTTGCCCCCCCCATATACTCTTGTAACAAGGAAAAACAATTAAGTAAAACTGACTAACAAAGCAAACAAGTCTGCTGGTGTACACCACATTCTTTTCTTTTCTTTTCTTTTCAAGGCAGTTGGGGTTAAGTGACTTGCCCAGGGTCACACAACTAGTAAATGTCAGGTATCTGGTCTGAGACCAGATTTGAACTCAGGTTCCCCGACTCCAGGGCCAGTGCTCTATCTACTGCACCACCTAGCTGTTCCTTCCCCCCCCTTCGACGTTCTTTACCTATCCTCTCCCACCTCTTTACAAAAAGGAGAACCATATGTTTTGATACCTGTTCAGCATTGCTTCTTGTTCTCAGACTCCTACCTCTTAAATGCAAGTCCTTCCTGAACTTTTTGATAAAGAAATAGAATCAGTGACTCCCAGTGTAAGCAAAGAAAGAGTCATTAAAAACCATTTTGGGTCCTCCAGAGCAAAGATAGCTTTTGCATTTGTATAATTGCAATTTAATTTTTTGAGTCTAGCTTTATGATCTCTGTGTGTGTGTGTATATGCATATAGGGAGGCAGCCTTATGTACTAGATAGATAATTGGCTTTGGAGTCTAGAAGACCTGATGTTAAGTCCTGCCTTTATACCTATTGTCTATGTGGCCTTGGGCAAAGTCACTTAATTTCTCAGTTGCCTTAGGCAACTCTCTAAGCTTATAAATTGCATGCTGTTCAGTCATTTGCATTGTTTGAGAGATTTTTCCACCTAGCTAGTTATCTATGCCAGTGAAATCTCTGGTACACACCAATATCCCTATATGTGTATATTAGTGGACTCGGTGAGAAAGAGGAGAGAACCAGTGACTGTTGGATTTTCTGTTTTCCTGGCTGTTTGACTAGGAGGGATGGAAGACTAGCTAAGTGTCAGAGGTCTAAAGTGTCAAAGCCAAGAGATTCAGGAGGAGATGAGACTGTCCAAGTAGCCTTATCTTTGTGGCTAAAACAACTGGCTCCTAATAGCCCTCAAGGGCCTGCTCTAGAGCCTCTTCTATCTTCCATCTATCTCCCTTCTTGGTGTTCTCACCCCCACCCCACCTTTTCCCTGGAGCTCCTGTCCCAGCTCATTTATTTTTTGAGTGCTTGCTAGCTATCTCCACCTGGCTGTCCTGTTGGCCCCACAAACTCAATATGATGCAACCTGAACTTGAAATGTTCCTTCTGAAGTTTACTTCTTCTTCTCACATCTTTGTTGTTCTACTGAGGGTTCCACTATCACCCCAATGATTCCAACTCACAATCTCAGAGTTATCTTTGACTCTTTCCATTCATTCACCTCATGCATCCAGTCAGTTGCAAAATCACATCGATTCTACCTCTGCCATAGCTTAGGGCTTGAAGGATTCCCACCTCTCATGTCTACCCCTTCTTTCCACTTCTATTTTGAACATTCTTCTTTCCAACTGAAAGAGCAAGTCATGTCTCTGGATCTTTGGCACTTAGTATGATAGCATACACAGTAGACTATAAATGGTGAATGGTGGTTGCGTGGGCAGCAGAGGAGTTTATGTTTTATTGTGGAGAAAATAGAGTCACTGAAACAAAGAAATAACATGTTCAAACCTTTGGGAATGTTTTGGGAATAATCACATGATGACTGGGTAGGGGATGGATGACAAGGGCAACTGGAGACAAAGAGGCCAATTGCTATGCTATTGTAGCAGTCTAGGTAAGATGAGATGAGGATGTGTGAATAAAGAGAAGGGGATGGGTGAAAGAGAGATGCAAGTAAGCATCAAAGGATCTTGGCAGCTGACTGGCCATGTGGGATGAGGGAGAGGAACAAGTTGAAGATGACTTTGAGTTGGTCAGCCTGCATGACTGCAAAGATGGTGGTTTCCTGGACAGAAATATGAAAGTCAGGACCCAAAGGTCTGTTTAGAGGAAATCATAATGACTTCCTTTTTGCCATGTCAAATCTGAGATGCCCATGGGAGATAGACATGTAGAGATGGTAGGCAACTGGTGATGTGTGACTGGAAGACACACCCATGGATGGATGGATGGATGTGAAGGCTGGATATATAGACCTAGAAATCTAGGTCTATAGACCTAGCAAAGTAATGAGCATGAACCAATGTGATCATGGGTAAGATTACTCATTGAGAGATGGTGAAGAGATAGAAGACAGAGCCCTGAAGGGGAGGTATATTGATGCTTGGGAGGTTGGATGTGAATGACGATCCTACAAAGGAGCCTGAGGAGAGATGAGAGATAGCAATGCCATGAAAGCTTAGGGAGAAGGGAATGTCCAGGAGGAGGGCATGTTCCATGGTATCAGATACTGTAGAGAGGCCAAGAAGGATGAAGACTGAAGAAAGGCCAGTGGTTTTAGTAGCTCAGAGATCAGGCAAGCAGTCTACAAGCATTTATTAAGCACTTACTATGTGCCAGGCTCTATCTTAAGTGCTGAGAATTCAAAGAAAGGCGGAAATGCAGCCCCTGCCCTCATAGAGGTCACATTCTAATAGGGGAGGGGAGACAACACAAGTGACTATATATACACATAAGGTACTTACAGATTAAGTGGAAGATGATTTTAGGCATGGTTTAGTCATATAGGATTAGGGTTAGAGACATGATGAGAAAATCTGGTAGAAAATGGATCTATGGATTGAAGGTATAATTCCAGACAACATATGATATAGAAAAATCAAATTGGGTTGGCTATTTTAAGGAAATCACAAGTAATCCAGGAAAGAGTTGTTTGGATTGCACTGGTTTGAGAAGTGAGTGGGAGGTAAGGAAATAGAGGAACCAGTCACCTTTCTTCTCAGGGTCTCTGTTTCCTCATCTGTAAAATGAAAGGATGGGGCTAGATGAACTCTAAAGGTCCCACCAAGGTCCCACCCAGCTCGAAGCCTCAGATTCCAATGTAACCTAATGAATGTTTCTTTTAAATTAGTTCTGTCTTTGTTCCAAAGATGCCCCTACCATTGCTCCCAACAGTTCTGGAGAGTGTTGGTTTGGGTATTTCTTTCAAAGCCTGTTTAGGAATCAGACTTTGAGTCCATGCCTCATTCTTGAGACTCCTCAAAGGTATTAAATCAGCTTGAGTCACCAGCTTTGGCCACAAATGACATTTGACCATTTCCCTAAGTCATAACCATTCTCAAGAGATGAATGACAGAATGGAAGAAGCTTATGTAGCCAGCTAATTGAACCCATACCTGAAATAGTGAAGAATGTTTGACTGGGTTAGAGGCACTGAAAACAATTCTCAAAGAGAGGTCCCCCCCAAATGTATTGGGCAATGACACTGTTGTCAGTGTAAGAGGATAGTCTTACAAACAGCAGCTTTGAAGAGGATACCAGGCAATATGCTTAAGTATTGATTAGTTGTCTTAGAATTCAGATCTTTTGCTTTATAGTCATTTCTCCCTGCTCTTGATTTCCAATGATGGCATCTTTGCAGGGACAGTGAGGATAGTAAGAGGGAAGGATATAGAAAAAAATTAAGAGATGAAGAAGGAAAAAGAGTCAATGTTGTTCAATGCATAGAGATCTGTTTGGGTGCCAGGAAGACCTGTGTTCAAGGTGGTTCAGGGGGCAGAGTGCTGGATATGGAGTTGGAAAGATCCGAGCCTAAAGGCCACTAAGTCCAACCTCTTCATTTTATAGGTAAGGAAACTGAGGCTGAGACATTAAGTGACTTGCCCAGGATCACATAGCTAGTAAAGGTCTGGGGCAAACTCTAAATCTCTGATCCTATGATCTGTGATCCTTTAAGTCTTGTCTCTGATACATACTGATTTTGTGACTCTTTGTAAGCCACCTAACCTATCTTGGTCTGAGTTTCTTTATTTGTAAAATGATCCTTTGAGTACTGCCTCTGACACATATTGGCTATGTAACCCTGGGCAAGTCACATTCTTAATGTTCTCAGCATCTCTAATAAATGAAATCAGCAGTCTAGTCCTTATTCTCAGTTCTTTTGAAGACAGGGTATAGGCAGATGATATATTGGAAAAAAGGCAAGCTAAGAAAATCTTGGGTCTAGATTTGCATTCTTTCAAGGTCTGGTCCACCTGAGGGAGTTTGGAGAGGAGCAGATATCTGGGTAGGCCACCACTCCTTTCGTAGGAACCAGGTGATTGGTTTGGCTTGTTTACTGCTGTTTCTATTGTTACAGGAAAGTGTCATGGTAAGCAGCTAGTGAAGCTAAGAGTTCTGCTCTGTTCCCTCTTTGACCTGCCCCTTCTTATGGGTGGCTGCCAGCTCCCTTGTAAGTCTGGGCTCCCTGCATTGCACAAACATTTTTACCATCTGGAAGGCTCTTTGCGCCTATCTATTTTCTTGATGGGAGACTCTATCTTCTGTATCTTATAGTTCATCATCTGATCTTGCTTATGGGTTTACTTCATCAGGAAGAAGAATTCCATGACCCCCAGAGCCCATCTGTTCAGAAAATGAAGTCATTAGGCATTTTCCGTATTGATGTGAAGCATTTGTTTTGGGAGGGGGAAGTTGGAGGTAGCAAATATTACAGGAATTAAAAGGAACTCTTTGTGATGGCGAGAAGAATCCTCGATTAGTCCTCTAGTGTTTCCTTCTGTTTTCCTTTGTTTAGGGCAATAAAACCCTTAAGACATTGGAGGATTGGATGAACTGTATCCTTTTAAGGAAGAATTTGGATAATTCCGTCCTGCACAAGGAGCAAATTTGGTGTCATGATGTGGACTCCAGACTCGGAGTCCTGATTCTTCTGATTTAATAGCTGTGTGACTGTAACCTCTCTAATTTTGTTTGCTCAGCTGTAGAAAAGGGATATTAATACTTCTACTACATAGTGTGAAGCCATGACTCAGGGGGTATTGTCAGGAAGGCACTTTGCAAAAGGCAGAGCACTCTAAGCATGAGTTGTTAAAATGTGGTCTTTTTGCTTTCTGGGTCACCATGGCTAAAGGCTTCATCATTTCGAGGCTAGGTTGGTTTGTGGGCAGGAGAAATTGACCTTTAACTAGGATGACAGTGGAAGCTTTGCCAGCTCCATAGGACCAAGAGGAACTTGTGTTTCACTGGCAAAGCCTTTGGTAGACTGGAGTCACCTTCATACAACAATGAGGCACTGAGTTACCATGGAGCATACACTTACTAGCTTTTTTTTTTTTTGTTTTGGATCAAGTAGATGGTATAATGGATAAAGTGCGGGACCTGGAGTCCACAAGACTCCTGAGTTCAAATCCTGCCTAGGACACTTACTGGTTATGTGATCCTGGGTAAGACATTTTACCTCTCCTAGGCTCAGTTTCCTCATCTGTAAAACCTCACAGGGTTGTAGTGAGGATCAAAGGAAATAATTTGTGTTAAACATTCCTCTTTCACACTCTATAAATGCTAGCTATTATAATTCACTGCACATTTTGTCTCGTTTAAAGTTGAATTTACAAACATATGGTTTATGGCTTTGTTTATTGAACGTGTACTTCTGAAACCTTGCCCAGCCATTTCAATTGTGTTCCCCTTTATCTTTTTGTGTCTGTTTCAATAGGGCCTTACTTCAATCCTCGATCTCGACAGTGGATTCCCCGTGACCTTGCCATGTGTGTCACCCCCAGCGGCCAGTTTTACTGCTCCATGTGTAATGCCGGGGCTGGTGAAGAGATGGAATTTAGGCAGCATTTAGAAAGTAAACAGCACAAGAGCAAGGTGTCTGAGCAGCGGTACAGGAATGAGATGGAGAATCTGGGATACTTATAGTGAAGCCCATTGCTGATTGTCATTTCAGATAAAGCACTTTGTCTTGCCTGCTTCTTTTGCCTTCTGTCAACCTGTCCTGCTTTGTGGCCATTTTTGACATGATTACATGCCTCTGCTTCCATGTAGATATCTATAAACCTAATGGTACCTTGAGGCGTTAAAATCTGATTCAAAAAGAATGAGCTTTTTGGGTCATGATGGGTTTTCAGGTTAGTTTTATTTAGCTAATCTTCAGAAGGCACGTGGCCTTACCGTATGGAAAGTAGCTTTGGAAACTGACTAGATGGAGGGAAGTGTAGGTTTCAGTTCTCCATGCCTTTACGTGGGCTACCATCTTGGTGCAGTATGACTAGGACGATTGGTACAAATGGCTTCAGAGTCTTTCCTGACACTTTAATTCCTTCTATAATGTGATCTCTTAATAGAACTACAAGGGTCTGTCCACTGTGTGAATTTCATTACACTCCAACACATCTGATCCACCCTCCTTGTGGCCAGGCTTCATTTCCAGTTTCTGATCTCTGTCTGCCTTCATCCTCTCTACCACTACCTTCTGCTTCATAGATACATACTTTTCAATTCTAATCAGCTTGTTTTTATGTAGTTCCCAGCTGTGCTGTGGGTATTTTGAGGTTAAAACAACTCTTAATAACCTCTGAGCTTTTTAAAAATGATAAAGTGTGTATACAAAAGATGGTTTCAGAAAATAGGCAAAATTTTGATTAGTTTTCAATCCAAGGATTGTATTATGTTGTGTAATAATATGCACTTATGTGGGAGTTCCTGGCCATAAGATTTGGGCTATTTCACAGATGTTATGAACAATTTCATGCTCACTCTCTATATTTGCTAGGCTGGACCTACTCAATGTTCTAAGGGATACCCATTATGTTTTGTTCTTTAAATAAAGTAGGATAAAAAAAATGTATTTTAATTTTCACCATTTCTGCATTTAAATGCACAGTGTTTGGTCCCCTTTCCTTTTATACTTTATCTTCTCTGGAATGACTATAATCATTCTAGAATGTTGTGCATGTCTGATCATTGAATTAGGCATCTCCTTGCACCTCCTCTTCCCTATCTGACTGCTCCCCCCTTCTCTTCTGTAGGTGCTTGGTTAACTAATATAGTGCTTTCTGGTGTTGGGTGAAACTGTTTACTTCGTATCTCAGAAAGACTGTACCTTTGCTGCTTTTTCCTAACCTTTTGCTCCTTTTCAAATAAAAAGAGCCAAGGCTAAGAGTTCCCTTAAAAGACAGTTTCTCTGTAAAGTTGATTTTAGATTGTATCATTTGTCCAATTCTAACCTTTTGCTGCTCATTCAATTAAATGTGCCCCTCAGGGTTTTTTTTTTTAATAATTGTTCTCATCCTTCTCCATTTTCCTTCAAGTAGAATATGAGATCAATTTCAGAGTACTGTAGTTTCTTCATTTAATACTTGAACTTGGGGACAATTGGATGATAGCTAAGAGACCTGCCTTCTACAAAAAATGGTAGAGGGATTGAGGGATAAGTATTGCTTTCTAGAGACAGAAGGATGATCAACTCTGTGACATCTTAGAGGTTTCTCTCTCCATCTTCTTTGTTTTAAGAAAAACCAGCATTATAGCTCTGCCTCAAAAAATGAGGAATTGAGGGAGTTTTTTTTTTGGGTCTTTCTCATTGACCAGTAAGTTCTTTTGTTTGCTGCTAAAGGTCTGTCTGTATATGTAATATCCTTGTGCTGGTGGTTTAATTCTACGAATCTGAAAGTTCTGTCTCCTATTGTATGTCAGGATGTTTAGTTTTTGTGTGAGGTCTCCTAAAGAACTTGCCTGGCTTCTTATTTCAAAACCCTATGAAAAAAAAATGCTGGATGCTGATTTTATTTTATAGAAGTTCAATTGTACTCTTCTTTAGTTATGCATTTGTGAATGAAATAGAATTGAATTTTGGTCTCTAACCTTCCAGCTGTTCTATGTACTAGAAATGTACTTATTCATTACTTACTTATAATTTTCTTTCTTCTTGTGTGACTTTAAATAAGCAACTTCCCCTCGGGACCTGTTTTTCTCATCTGTAAATCAAAGGATGAGCATAGATTGTTTAAGCAACATGGGCTCCCAGTGGAGCTCAAAGATGTGGTTCATTTATCCCTCTTCTGCATTGTTTTTAAAATAGTTTTTTTTAAAGAAAGTTGGATGAAAGACATTAGCTCTTGCTAGCTATAATTTCTTCCCAGCTATAATTTCTTTGCACTAAAAAAGAGTCAGCAGTTTGGGAACGTAACACTTACCTGTGACAATTCGGTCTTACTCTTCCAGACTCCAGACTCCAGAGTCTTTCCTGCTGAGCACTGCTCATTGTCATTCATGCTGGTTCCATTCCTTCCCCACTGGAAGAATCCAAAGATAGATTCCAGTTTGGAGTCTGTTTTTGCAATGAATTACACACACGTGATATTTTAAAAAGAGAATGACAAAAATGACTTGGTAGCGTATCTTGGAATTAATACAAGTCTGCACAAGAATTGTAAATTCTCGTGCTTGTGCCCCTTCTCTCTAGGGACTACCTTCTGTCAGGTCATGTAGCCTCTTGGTGGTACTTTGAGCAATGGGATGAGAGAATTGCTGAGTTTTCTTTCTTTTTTTAAATTGAGCCCTGCTTTACTATAAAATGATTTAGGGTTTGTCCTTTTGCTCCCCAGATTCATATTAGTATTTGTGGGGTATATGTATGTATATGTATGTGTGTGCATGGTGTGTGCACACACTCTCACATATCCTCTGTGTGTGGAAGGTTGTTGGTCTAAAGTCCTGGAAGTATTTAGTTTGATGTATTCTTAAGCAGGGGTCTGTGAATTTTTTAAAAAATTGGGTCTTTTGATGACTGTATTCCAATATAATTGGTTTCCTTTTCAATCCTATGTATTTTATATTATACATTAAAAAAAGTATTCTGAGAAGGGGTCCATAGGTTTCACCAGACAGCCAAAGTCATCCATCTCAAAAAAACAAAAAAGAAAACAACAACAAGGTTAAGGACCTCGGGTTTAGTTAAAGAAAATCAATGGATTTCAAGAGTCATCTGAAAGGATGAAAAACCATTTGAACATAGAGAATTTGTGTTCAGAAAGTGGCATTAGGACTTGATGTTTTAGCACCTCAGCTTTTGTTCACTGCTAAGGTGCCAAGGCCTACCAGTTGTCAAATGAACTGGCCTGTTTAAAAAGCTAGATCATTGACATTTTTTAAATGAAAAGAAAACTACATGTATTAGGTAATGCAGTCTCCTCTGCCTAAAACAGGAAGTAACTTAAGATATATTCTTCTTTTGGATATCATGTGCTTTATCTGGCAGGTGCAACACCCATATTTTGTGTGTCCATGTTGCTTTGTTCCCTTGTCCTTATGGCTGAAGTGTATTCTGTGAGGTGCCCAGGGAGGTTTTCAGAATCCTGTGTCTTTTACTTAGGAAAAACATTTTTGTCTTGGTAAAGCTGTATAAGATTTTTGGAAAGATTGTGGCCACAGTGAAGAGTCATAGGTGCTGCAGCTTATTCTTGTACTGTGCCAGTTAAAAGGTTAGAGTTTCAAGGTCTCTCTATTCCATGGAACCTTCTTGCAGATCAGTTAATTAATAAGCATTTATTAAATGCTTACTAGGTGCCAGGCACTGTGCTAAACCGTTGGGATTCAAACAAAGGCAAAAATAATCCCTGCCCCCAAGGAGCTCACATTCTAGAACAGGGGCTTCAGACCTACTTAAATGAGCATAGAAAGTCGCATAAATGGATAGATGATCCTTAAGAGGCTCCTGAAAAGTGGGCAGCCCTACTGCTAGCTTACTTCCGGGAAGGCAGATGAAAGCATCCCTCATACCTACATCTGTTTTCCTTAGATGAGCAGCCAGGAAACTTAGTAGTCATTTGTTCCCTCAGATTTTAACTCTAGACTTCTGAAAGTAATGTTTGAGAGGCCAGATTTGGAGGTACCTCGACTGAGACACTCTAACTCAATATTACTGGTTCCATTGACATAAACTGGCTAACTAGTATTGTTAGTTATAGTGATTAGTATAAGAAGTTTAATGAAAACTTGCAAGTAGAAATAACAAAAAGACTCGCCCATATGCTTAAAATTATTATTTTTAAAAAAAGCCTGATTTTTCTTCTTGAAGTTCACAGGTAGTAAAAATATCTATTTTTTAAAAAAAATTATCATTGGAAGACAACATGGCTTGGTATATAGAGTGTTGGCCTTGGTGTCAAAAGAACCTGGATTCAGGCCTTACTTCTGGTTTTGTGATCTTGGATCAGAGACTTACGAGCCTTTTTGACCCAAACAAATCATAAGATTATAAATTGTCTGTCCGAATTAGTAGAGTGTTTCCATACCCAAAGTCCCATAGAAAGATGAAATCACAGGTTTAGGGACCCCTACCCCCCAAATTGTACTAGCTATTCATTTTGATGTTGAATTTCTTTACCAGTTTCCAGACATATGGTTAATTCTCAGAAAACTACTAATGGCCCCCAGATTGATGATTTCTCTTCATTTTGAGGGGGAGGCTCACTGAGGAGTCCCTTCTCCCACATAAGACAGGAATAAGGCTCACACCTGTGATCTCACTGGTTTAGGGAATAGCCAGGTGAGGAAACTCTCTCTGCCAATGAAACCAGCCCTTCTCTTCAACTCTGTAGTCTTAGAAGTTAAGTGACTTGCTTAAGGTCACAGAGAAATGTGGTATGAAAGGCAGTACTTTGACCCAGACCCTCCGAGCTTCAAGGTCAGCTCCCCATCTGATGCTGTGTGTGTGCCTTCACCCACATACCCACTCAACTCCCACAATAGTAGTGCATTTGAGAACCTACAGACATGCTTGCTTAAAGCCCAGACTACAAGTGCCTTTAGCGAGTGCTCACAAACCCCAAGAGAGAAAAAAACTGATGAAGCCTGTTCTGGGGTCATTTGAGTTCTGATCCAGAGATTGACAACCTGGAGCTATGTAGGTTTGCGCAATCCTTCATGCCAACATTATTCTATGTTATCTTAGCATGACCAATCCTAAATAGACTTTGACTGCACATTGATCAGACACCAGACCACCACAAAGTAGCTCTGGAAAATTAGCCCAGTTTTCCCACAATGACAATGATAGCTCCCAGCCCCCATTATGATACATGTTTTTCATTTAAATATAATTTGGGGTGGGGGAATTAGGTTTAATGTTTGCAGTATTCTAAATTTCCACATTCTTTTCATAAACCTGTCTGTTTCAAAGGGATCACAGTTATACATCTGCCAATGAGATATGTTGGAAAGGGTATCCTCTGCTGTCATGAATTGAACTTGCTTGTTTTGAGATGTGCATCTTACAGAGCATAGAATTGAGGACTTTGTTTCCCTGCTCTGTTTCATTTTCGGTTCTTGATAGCCTGCTTACTTTCAGGTATAAGCCCATATTGTGAATCTACTTCTACCTTTGAGACATTAACATTTTTTTTTTAAAGGTGCCGTGTTACCTCAATGAAAAAGTTAGGTTCATGGATCCTCTTTTGGACTGTGCTTTTTCAAGCTTCTCCTTTGTGTCTGTGGAATATATGGAGACAATTCCCACCAGATCAGGAAGCTCCTTGGTAGTAATTATTTTAAGAATGCCATCTTAAGGTTTCCTACAACTCTTTTTAAAATTAGAAATAAGAATTTATTCCCCTTATTGTGAGATTTTAAAAAATTGACCTTTGGGAATTAACCTATGGTTCTGTCAACTCTTGGTCATTTTGAGTTGATTATTCATTCTGAACTTTGTCCAAGCTGCTTCTGTACCTCCCATTTATTACCCTTCTTTAGGGTACTCAGGTACCTTGAGAGTCTCTTTGTCCTGAGAACAAAAGAGAGTAGAGAGGTGAGGTGAAACTGACCTTTTAGTTGAAGAGGTTTCAGCTG